CGATCGATAAGATTAAATTTTTTTTTTTTTTTTAACCTGGTTGAACCTTTCGACCTGTTTGAACCTACCTATTTGAAAGAGAACCGGTCGACCAACAGGTTAACCGGTTGGTTTCCCCCAACGGTCGCGCACTGTAAAATGGTGAAACCTGGAAGTTCTGTTCTCACTTTGATGAATTTTTTGTTCCATTCTCATTTTGATACCAATTTGTTGAAACTATTGGAACTGTTTAGGTTTTATTTCTTGGCAATACCGTTTGACAAAACTCCTTTGAGTTGTAATTTTATTCGCATTTTTATTTCAGTGAGGCTATGAATTGTTAGATCGAATCCAACCCAAATCAAGCCTTTCAGAGAAGTTTGTGATGCTAATGCTTTCAAGATTGCCACTTCGCTAATTATGACGGGGATCGAGCTGCCCGGTCAGCTTGCGGGGTCCAGGGGGCAGCGCTCCTTGGCGGGTCCGGGACAGCGCCACGGCGAGGTCGAGGGCAGCGCCCCCGAAGCAAAATGCAAAAATGCATTCCAAGTTGCCTGTCCGCTCGAGCGGACATTACCCCGCTCGAGCGAAGAATGCTGGGTTTCAGAAGTTTGTCAGGTCTGTAAAAATACTGGAAGGTGTGATTTCGCGCTCGACGCGGAGCTCTGTTATATCACGCGCATATTTTGCTGAAGTCGCTCGAGCGGGCTGTTGGGCGCTCGAGCGGAGATCGCGGGACAGATTCTATAAATTCGCGTGTTGGATCAGATTTTAGGATTACTACTCCAGATCTTCTTTTTGGGTTCTAGGGTTTATATCTGGGGATACTTTGTGAGTTTTCTTTGATGTTTTGATTGAGTATTCAACTCTTGTTTTAAAGAGTATACATTAAATGTTTTGTTTGTTCTACAAAAGAGAGAGTTGTTCTTCGGTGGATTCTAAAGAATTCGAGCCTGAAGCTTTGGTGGATTCCGGTGTGGCTCGTCGTAAAGACAATTCCGAGGTGAAGACGGGTTGGAAGAGGCACATAGAGGTTGGTTCAATTAGGCGTGGATTCGCTAGGTAATTGAGAGTATACCTGTGTAATTCCTTTAAATCTTCTTAGTGGATTGTTTTGTGGCTGTTGCCCGTGGTTTTTTTATCACAGTTGGAGGTGTCCAATTGTGATTTTTTCCACGTAAAATCGTTGTGTCTCTTTGTGTTGATTGTTTGATTGAGATTGTTATATTCTGTTTAAAATTGATACATAATCACAAATCAACATCTAGGGGATTTCTAGATTTTTCAGGAACTTCAAAAAATGACTTTTTTACCAAATTTTAAATCTGATGAAAGGTTTGATGAATCGTTGAAAATGGCCTAATAGGACTGGAATAATTAATTACAGACTTGTTTAATGGGTTGTCCCAACTCTCTAATTTGTCAACTCTTTACAAAGAAAAATGTTAATAAATGACCAGATTGATTTATTTTGTAATATATAAATGATTAAATATTTTATATGAGTGTAGGGTTCACAAAAAATTGACTCTATAACTATGTAAGACATTTAAGTATTTATTTAGTTTTAATCACTTCCTAAAAAGTTAAGTTTTTTATTTTTTATTTTGGTAAATGTTTTTATTTTTTAGATACATATAATTTAAATACACTTAAAAAGTATATTATTTGTGATTTTTTTAAATATAAAAATTCAATATATTTTTGTATTTTATTATATTTAATAATTTTTAAATTTTTTTTATACAAAATATATATTTTTTAAGTATATCAAGATTAAGTGGATTTAAAAAATTTAAAAATAATTAAAATATTTTAAAAAAACCCTAAAAGTGTAAAAATACGAATTAAAAACTCAAAAAACTATTTTTGAAAACTCCAAACTAATCATATAAGGATAGTCAGGCCATAAGTTGACTTGTTAATTTTTTGGATCATTAAACCCAAACTCTAACGGTGCGTTTGTTTGGACGGACTGGATAAGGGGGGGATTGTAATCCATCGGACCGTTAGTCTTGGGATACATTGTCCCTGGACTATTTGGTCGGACTAGATTTGTATCCTATGTTTGTTTAGTCATGGGATTAGAGGTCTGGATTGGACTATTCTATTGAATCCCATGTTTGTTTGGGATATTATGGAGAAGGATAAATGTTCAAAAGACTATTTTGCCCTTTTGAATTATTTACTAAATAATAAGAATATTAAATCTAAAATTTTACTTTTATACAGAGTAAAATTTTACTTTTAGTTTCCGAGTGTAACATTTTACTCTTATTCAGAGTAAAATTTTACTTTCATACAGAGTAAAATTTTACTTTTAGTTTCCGAGTGTAACATTTTACTCTTATTCAGAGTAAAATTTTACTTTCATACAGAGTAAAATTTTACTTTTAGTTTCCGAGTGTAACATTTTACTCTTATTCAGAGTAAAATTTTACTTTCATACAGAGTAAAATTTTACTTTTAGTTTCAGAATGTAAAATTTTACTTTCATACAGAGTAAAATTTTACTTTCATACAGAGTAAAATTTTACTTTCATACAGAGTAAAATTTTACTTTCATACAGAGTAAAATTTTACTTTCATACAGAGTAAAATTTTACTTTCATACAGAGTAAAATTTTACTTTCATACAGAGTAAAATTTTACTTTCATACAGAGTAAAATTTTACTTTCATACAGAGTAAAATTTTACTTTCATACAGAGTAAAATTTTACTTTCATACAGAGTAAAATTTTACTTTCATACAGAGTAAAATTTTACTTTCATACAGAGTAAAATTTTACTTTCATACAGAGTAAAATTTTACTTTCATACAGAGTAAAATTTTACTTTCATACAGAGTAAAATTTTACTTTCATACAGAGTAAAATTTTACTTTCATACAATTTCAATTAAACACCATAAAATGTATACAATTTCAATTTCAATTATTCAATTAATAAAGGCATAAAGGCAATATATACAATTTCAATTATTCAATCAGGTGGAAATATAAACACCATAAAGGAAAAGAGCTAATAAGGACACTTCACAATTTCTATTATGATCCGAAGTCTAAAGCAAAGATATTATACAAAGCCAACCACAAAAACAATATATAAAAAGCATCCCAATTATAGTTAACAAAATACGGGTGCTTGTACACAAAAGAAGTAATAATTAAGTTTATCAACAAGTTTATAATAGACTTAACAAAAAGCATTCCCTACCATGTATATGAAATCATGGCCAAAAAGAAAATACTCCAATGAAATGCAACAAGTTTACTATGGAGCATGTCTACTTAGCAACCTCATCACCCACCTTAGCCTATCATTATGTGTCAAGCTGAAGAACATGTCAAGCTTTTGGACATCATGGGATATGATTTCACAAGCATCTAACCTTTCATCTACAGTAATTGGCAACTTCGTAAGTTCATTGTTTAGTGATGCCCGTTTAGATGCAAGATCATGTGAATACCCCATTCTTTTTCCAATGAATTCTAGCTTATCATTGGTTGTTCCCAAGACATCCACCAACTTGTCAGCAAACATGGTCAGCCCTTCAACTACTTCATCATTGGCTCTAGGTCTTTTCTTGTCTTTCTTTTTGGTAGAACTATCAGAAGGCCGTTGAGTTGTTGAGTTTGAATAATCCATTGCTTCACCAGTCTGACTATTTAATCCCATTTGTTCCAGAAAAGTGTCATTATCTGCAAGACCATGCAACAACACATGTTCTTCAGCATTCATAGCCTCAACTGCATCAGCAGGGTCTTCAGCAAACTCTCCTGTAGCTCGATCTTTGCCAAATATTTGAATCCATTCATCAAAATGTCGGAAAGTTTTGTTCCTCAGGTGTTTTGCATCATTGTCCCTCTACAATGACCAACTAATCCCAATTAATATCTTCAACATAAGGTTAAAATACATATATGAAATAGTATGTAAATAACAAAAGGAGATAACTTTACCCGAACATATGCCTCCCATACACTATCACTCTCTACGTCAATTCTTTTTTCAGTATCATTCCATCCAAATCCACTAGTAGCAAGCATACCAGACACAGAATTGTATTGCTTCTTCCATATTTTAATCTTTGATTCGATTTGGGGAGAGCCACGTAAATCTGTCCCGGGTAACAACTCCGCCATTTTATTCTCCAATTTCATAAGCTAGCCTGCCTTGAAAGAATTGTCAACTTTCATTCCATCATTCACAATGAACAACAAGGCTGAAATTAGACAGTCCTCTTCACGTGGGCTCCATATTCGCCTTTGTTTTAATGAATCAACCTTGTCATTATTTTTCTTACGAAAACTGGATATCTCATTATCCATGCCTACAGTAATAATTGAACATTTCATATGCATTACCATAAAATATAAATAACTCACAAACATATATATCATAATACCAACCATTGCAAATATAATTCAATATCCACGATGTCAATTATTCATAAACGTACATAGCAATGACACATCACAAATTTAAATTGTTTAACAACAAAGCAAAGTAGAAACACAAAGCTATCTTTATCCAGCCCCTCCATTAGCCAACCAATTGTTGTACAATTGCATTGCAAATGTATCCCGCCACTCAGTCCACTCGTTAGATGTCTCAACAGTCTCAATAAAATCATCTCCCATTGGGGGTTGATTTTGTAAGGCATCCGCTAAGTTTGGATCATCCTCTAGGGGGTCAACTACCATCTCTCGTCGAATGAAGTTGTGTAACAAGCAACATGCTGTGATAATTCGATTTTGGGTTCTAATGGGATAGTATGATGCACTGCGAAGTATAGCCCATCTCATTTTCAACATTCCAAAAGACCTTTCTATGATATTCCTGGCTGATGCATGTTTCATGTTGAAATATTCTTGGTAATTATTTGGCGTTGCTCCTTCTCTCCAAACAGACAAATGGTATCGCTGACCACGGTAAGGTGCTAAGAATCCTTTCCCATTCGTATACCCCGTATCCACTAGGTAATAGTAACCTGTGTGTGGAATGTTATGTATTAAATTAAATTTTTATTCATGAATTTAAGAAAAATTAAGTACTTTTGTATTACCATTTGGGATCCTTAAGATATTGGGTCGATTGATTGCATCTCTCAAAACCCTAGAGTCGGCTGCTGACCATTCCCACCCCGGCAACACATATATGAAATTCATGTCTTGGGAGCAAACTCCCAAAACATTAGTAGTAATCTCTTCTTTTCTTGTCCTATACCTTGCTTGATGAACCACAGGTACACGAACTTTAATATAGGTGCCATCGAGTGCTCCAAGACAATTCTAAACAAACCAATTCAATAGACATTATAATAGTTATGATTTTTATTTTCGGTAAAAAAGATTTAATAAAAGAAATAAAAAAAAAAGTAATGCAGTGTTACCAAATTTTTATAAATCCATTACCTGGAAGCAATTCCACCTTGGATCGGTGCTTGCTTCAGTTATAGGATTTGGTGTGACGAGTAAATTGGCTTGCAGACGCAACATAGCCTTTAAGACATCATTGAAATACCGACTAACAGTCTCTCCAGACCTATAGAAATTGAACTTAACATTTCGTATTTTCAAGTGTTGTGCTAAGATGAAGAGGAAAAAGGCCACATTCTCTTCTAAAGTGACATATTTTGAATGCCCTAACCCACCTATCGTATGAACCATATTGCACAAGGTCATAAAAGCACGCCGATCCATACGGAGTTGTTCAACACATGTTATGCCACTTTCTCTCACTAGACGGTTAATATAGTCTATTTGTTTTTGCAATCGATTGGGCTCTCTAATAAGGTTATGGCGATACTCAGATAAATACCTTTTTAAGACAACCTCAATGACAACAAAAGCTACGGCGCATAAGGCATGTATTTCTTGCATTACAGCTTGCAACACTACGTATAATTCAAGCGCATCGTTACTGTCATCATCAAAATCATTGATATTCTGATCCATCTCTATATAGAAGAAAATATTTAAAATTGCAAATAAATTAAGTAAAGGAGAAAACATAACGGCAAATCATAAACAATTTACTAAATAGATCGGAGAATAAATAGAAGATCGGAAAATAAATAGAATGAAGCTGTTGAAAATAAATAGATTATTTTATTGAAAAATAAACAAAATTAATGTTTTAGATTATTGGTCTTTTCATGGAGATGATAATCAACATTGTTTGTTTTGACATTTACAATTATGAGCTGCAATCAAAAGCTGCAATACAAATTCAAGATCAAACATTAGTTTTTAAAACATATATTTTATTTACTTAAAAATGGAAACAGTGAAAGGAAGAGACAGGGAATAAGCTTCATTCCTTCGCCTTTCAATCTTTTTGACTATGAATATGCCTTTACTGCTGTCATTGTGAAGTTAATTATTTTATTTTATTATATTTTGAAGGGTGTCATTGTCAAGTTATTAACATAGCAGCTCTGGGAAATGTTACACCACCTTGTATCTCAAGTTCACTCTTAAGCCATTGCAAAGACAAACTCAAATAGCACTTCTTTTTCATGATGTGGAAAAATATCAGTCCTCAGCTACATGGTCTTACAAGTCACATATGTTGAACTTCAACCATGGAAAACCAAGTTAAGAGCAAGTGGAAAAAAGGAAACATTTTGAAAGCAATATGTAGTTTTAGAATTTGAAATTATCCTTCCACTTGTTTTTATTATACTTACCATTTTTACAAAAAAATAAAACAAAATAAAGAAGGAAATTGGAGTACCACTTGTTATTCATATATATATATATATATATATATCCCTTGGCATGTATCAATAGATGCATCCATCTCATATGCATATCCCCTGATTCTAATCATAAAACTTATTATCAGTACTAGCCCAACAAGTTTTCCACTAATATCTTATTTTTTAGGTTCATAGACACAAATGCACACTCATGTAAATCTCCAAATCTTATCAAATTTCAAACACATTCAGTGGTTCCTACATGGAGATATAAATTGTGTTTACATTTCCTCTTTTCATAGAGCTCATACTCATTCCAAATGCCTATACTGATATTAGCCAACACGTATTCATGCTGTCAACAATACACCTCACATTGAGCTTCCTAAGGAAGTCTTAAGTTTACAGATCTGGAAAAAAAAAATCTGGAATAACTAAAAGATCGAAAAATCTGGAAAAAATTAAAAAAAAAAAAAAAAAAAAAAAAAAAAGATGAAATCACCATAAAAAATTAGGGAAAAAAAAAGAGCCTAATAAAAATCAAATTTAATTTTTTTTATATTTGAATTTGAACAATCCGTGCCATAACAAAAATTATTATTAAAAAAAAAATTCTTTAAGCTAAACTTGGACTCAAGCTTAGATTTGTGCGAAGAATCAACCAATCCCAACCCACTAATTCTCACTGTACTTGGACTCATGCTAGATTTGTTTAGCATGTGGAATTTGTAGGAAAGAATGGACGGTGCTGCTGCATATCAAATGTGGGAAAAAACAGAGCATGGATTTTCTTTGTATAAACAAAAAACAAAGCAAAAAAAAAGATGAAATGTTATAGATCTAAACTGAATGGATTTCTCTTTTGTATACTTGCCATCCACATAGATCCAAGGTAAAGATACATAAATCAATAAAACAAAGAAATCAACCAACAAAGCTAAAGGTTACAGATCTGGAAAAAAAAAAATCTGGAATAAATAAAAGATCGAAAAATCTAGAAAAAATCTGCTAAAAATAAATAGCATGAAGTTGCTGAAAATTAATAGAATGAAGCTCAGCAAAAAATAAATAGAATGAGTTTCAAACCTGAATGAAGATCGGACGCAAAGGTTCAACAGATTGAAGATTCAAGATGAAATGAAGCTCTTGCTCCTACAGTGAAATGAAGCTTCTGCAGTGAAAGCAAAATGGGAAAAGCTAAAAGAAAGATGAGAGGGTCAAAGATGTAATAAAGCTAGCCAATCCCATGGGATACATTATCCCATAGATTCTGTCCCAGGCCCCCCCCCAGGGATACAATAAGCCAGTGAATTCCGGATTAATAGTCCGGAGGGATTATTAATCCGGACCAAAAAATCCATACCAAACAACGGACTATTAATCCCTCCGGATTAATAGTCCAATCCCATGAGTTATCCTTCAAAACAAACGAGCTGTTAGGGTAGGCATTAAAATTTCTGGAAGCTTTGTTTAGTCATTTTTTAATTTATGTATTTTTTTATAATGAAAAAAATTAGTATATTTAGAATAATTTTTTTTAGTTAAATAGATAATTGTGAAAAAAAAACTAATAAATTAATATATAAAATGTGATATTATAATTTTTTAACTATTTTAGTAAAAAAAAATTCTCACCAAAAAAGGCGTAAGTCATCACTCACATGCATGTGACATAATCAATTAATAACAATAATAAAGGAAGTTTGAAGATTAATTTGTATAGTATGGGATCCATGTAGGATGTGATGAAGATTAATTTCTGAGTAATTTCTAATTTGATAAAGGTGAGTTTGTAGTAGGAGGATCCCCTCTAGTCCGAACTCTGGATTGGAGGGCATTGTTCTGGCCCATGAGATCTATCACAGACCCCGTTGATCTAAACTATTTATTTTGTTGCATAGTTCGTGTATTTCATACACATAAAAAAATTGATTGATTCGATAATTGTAACTAATGCAATTTACTGCATTTTTTATAAATAAAAAAAAAGAAAAAGAAATAGACGACAAAAAAATAAATCATATTTTTTTGATGATAAATGTAATAAAATGAATTAATTATAATTATCGAACCGGCCTATTTTTTTTTATGCGAATTTAAAGTGTTTATAAAAAATATGAGATGATTGAAATATTATAAATAAATGTATAATAAATTTAGCGCCCTCTGGAGTATTATTACTCATAATAAAATATTATAACCTTTCTAGCTATACCTATATGCCAAACACCATCTAAATGCTCCTCATGCCACTACCCCTTTCTCCTTTCAACCAATCATACATATACAATGTATTTAAAACATAGTCATATTCAATGACAACCAACAAGAGATTAGTTTTAATTCATCTAATCCTCATGTAATTTCTATACAAGCGCTACAATTGCCATTTTACGGATATTTCGTCCGCGAGCTAGGCCCCCATGTATAATTTCGGGACTTTCACCCAGGACACTCCAACCAACTTAGTTATAATGGAGTCCATCCTGAGATGTATAATTTATTTTTTTTTTACTTTATTAAGTATAATTAATACCATGAATGCACCAAATATTAATTTTTTTTGACTTCATGCGTAATTCTAGTAGATCAAGACAAGGTAGCAATTGTGATAACAACATGACAAAGTTCTTGACTTCATGCGTCACAGATTTTGTTGACTTCATGCCTAATTCTACCTTGTCATTCTAATTTTTTCAAGTGTTCAACTAAACATCTAGCTAGATTTTTAGTGTAGCTAGATTTTTGTATAAAAAGAATATATATCACAATCCTTGATATAAAAAATCACAATTTTATTATCATAAAAAATCAAATGATAACCTCAAAGCAAAAAAATCTGAAAACACAATTTGTGAACACCCTTACATAAAAAAATCAACCTATATATTGCTTTGTTATGTTATTATCAGAATTTTTTTGTTTGTCATAACTAGAAATCTGGAAACACAATACAAAGCCAACCATAGAAAGGCAATATATACAATTTCAATTAAACACCATAAAATGTATACAATTTCAATTTCAATTAGTCAATTATAAGCACCATAAAGGCAATATATACAAATTCAATTATTCAATTATTCAATCAGGTGGAAATATAAACACCATAAAGGAAAAGAGCTAATAAGGACACTTCACAATTTCTATTATGATCTTGCTCTGTTTTTTTCATTTGACAGAACCAGAGTAAAATTTTACTTTTATACAGAGTAAAATTTTACTTTCATACAGAGTAAAATTTTACTTTGGTAATATGGTAAAAGAAACAAGTTTTAAAATATCA